TGTCTGGGGAGACTGGCTGTGTTTGACAGATTTTGATTTCATAGCACTGTTCATATTTTGTGAAAGAATAAAATTACCCTTTTTTCAATATACATCTTTTCTATATTTGCCCTCACCGATTCTTCTAAGAACTCAACAGATCAGGTGTCAATCAGATCTTCTTGCACTACCCTCTACACATCAGAAGATATTTCGGTTCTTCTCTTATTTTCCATTAAGTATTTCTAGACTCCACACTGGGACTTTGAACACGACAAATTTAACTATTTCAGTAACTTAGTTAATGTACAATAGATAATATCTATTATAGAATAGTGAACAAATAAAGTGAATAAAGGCATGATACTATTCCTTAGAGTTTTATACTATTTTTGGATGAAATATGACTCTAAAGAAAGAAATTGTCCTTGTAAAGATTAATTAACCTGAGTATTCTTGGGAACTTGTTTCATTGCACAGCTGTGGCATGGAGGAAAGAGGCACTGAATGAAAAAAAACCAAAACCAAAACCTGTAGGAAGGGGATGTCAAAGTAAATTCAGAAACATTTACATATTTTACAATGACTGTTTACTTTATATAAGTAGCAAAACAGGTATGGTCTATGAAACTTTGCCATGTTCCTCGCCAGCCTACAATATAGGAATTTAGCTTCTAACTCCCCAGCATTATGCAAGTGACTGCTGTAGTGCACACAGGCTATTTTAAGACTTTTTTTTTCATTTCTCAGTCATCTTCATAATGGAAAGTAATTTTTTTGTTTCTTTAAGATCTGACACTGTTTACTACATGTAAATTTACATTGTCTTTCAGCTGCTGAATTTAGCAACTTTTTCTTTAAAATCCCTTGGTCAGTAAGGGTTATGAGAGATGCTTTCTGGTCCTCTGGACTACCCTTGAATGATTTAAGTCTGCTCTAAGGTCATTCCAGTGATTCTTCACATGCTCTATGCCACCAGTTGGAGGATTCTACATGAACATAAGAGAATGGAGATAAATCTTTTCTCTTTGGCATACCAAGATACACCCCCAGTGCATCCCTCAGCACAGGGATACTGGTTGTCTTGGTGTAAGATGGTTAGCACTATGCAGCACCCAAACTGGCCAGTGTGCTGAGCCAACTTCTTCAGAGAGGTGGCCTGAGTGTTTCTGTGCTGCAGCTCATACAGTGAGAACATACTCTGAGGCTCACAAAACAGCAGGTAGAAAGGCTACAACACACATGTTTTGTCAGCTGGGAGCTCCTCAAAGGATTTTATTAAGGGCCATTTACATAGATACCGTTAGTGCTCACCATCTGTGTGGTGGATCTCTTTAGAAAACAATTTTCTGAATGATGTTTTCGCTTAGAAATTTTTAAAATGTATTTATAAAATTCAAAAGCACCTGTTTGCTAGCAAGGTGGAAAATACTCCTGGCTGCCCAGAGCTCTTATTACACATGTTCTATAAGAGAAGTGAACTAGTATGAATACTCAATAAATTAGACACCAAAAGAGGATATTCAAGAATATGCAGCAGAGTTTGTACAACTATTAGAAATTTTTCCTGCACACTGTCAAAACAGATCGTAGTTGCAATGTAGCAGATCTCAAAAACCAAAATAAAGCACAGGAAAATACCAGTTTTGGAATATCCCTAATCATAGTACAAGAGGGAATCCTGGGAGCTGTAGAAGCAGAGAAAGGAAGCAGAATGAATAAGGGTTCCCACTACAAATCACATCTCCCTCTTTCTCTGGACTCAAGCAAGGAGCACTTCTATTATTTGTCCACAAGGTGTTCTGCAGCGCCCGGGACGAAGACAGGACAGAGCTCATTTCTAGACCTTGCTGGTGTACCTTAACAGTCTTCCCTCCTCCTCCCAAATGTCCTGCCCAGACTGTGACTCAGGCAAGCCTGAAGGGCAACCAGGGCATGACAAAGCCTATTTTTGACAGTGCTGTCAAATACTCATTTCAGACGGGCCAAGATCAACGTTCTCAGGCAAGTCCTCGGAGCTGGAGCAGCAGCAGGCTGCAGAAGTGCAGATGTGCCTGAGGGCATGCCCAGGTAGTCAGGTGCAGGCAGCTGCATCCCAGCTGTGCTTGCGTGTGGAGCCACACAGCTGGAAACCAGCCAAGAGCAGTTTGGAAGCTGCATAACCACACAGAGCACAAGACTGAAGCAGAGATGGCATGAGCATGGCAGACCTGCCCATGGGCATGTGGCTAATCCAGCTGGCTGAGCACACTCATGTGCTTGCAAACAGCCAAATGGCTGCGTGCCTCACTGAATCAGGGCTACAATTTGGGCTCTTTTGTTTTAAAACAACTTTTTTTTTTTTTTTTTTTTTCCTAGAATAACTGCTTTAAGGAACCAATGGCACCCAGACACAAAGTAATAAGCATCTATGACAGGAATAATTATAATGTTGTGAAAAACTCAGAAAGAAGGAAGGGGGGGAAAAAAAGCCAAAATGATTATAATCTTAGGGAAATATGCATTTACCAAGTAAATAATAGGGCTTTCTGAAAGTCCCAAATAATTAACACAAATCTAAACCCTCTGGTGTTCATTCTCAGGAGAGACATTTGAGACAGATGCACCCAAGAGAATGCAACTGATGAAAAGGAAAATATTCCAATCTCTTGGCTAAACAATGTGCTTTGTGTAGATTTTTAGTAAGTATTTTAAACAGGAAATTAAAATAAATTGGTAATTGTTGCATGATGCTCATATACCAAGGTGATAAGAATGTTTGGAACATCACACCAAAGTCCAGAAAATTCAAAGTTAATGTTGATGTTCTGAATTTAACAGACCTATTATTCTCATTACTGTTAACAGGAATGTCTAATGGCTGCACTGCAGCTCTGAAAATACTTTCAGAACTAACATCATGAACCTGAACTCAAAGGGAATGTTCATATAGGCTAGATCATTTTATGCCTTTAAAGATGAAGGGCTATACATTGCTGTGCTTTTGTTCTAGAGATCCCAAAGAAGTAAAATCAAAGAAGGTTTTCCAATTTTTTTAACCTTTTTTATCCTCTTCCTTGTTCTATTAATATTTTTTAACCAGAACTGAACTCATCTTTCACAGCATTACATTTATTCATGAGCTCAAGTCACAAAACTACTATGAACTCCAGCCACCTCCAAAGTGAAGGGCGACAAGATGGGACTACAGTTCAGAGTAGGAAGTGAAGCATATCTTATTTCATGGAAGCTACACGGGAATGCTACAACATTAACACATTTTTATCCAGCAGCTTAAATTAATGTAGTGTCAGCATTGACTACAATAAACCTCTTGCAGACTTTTCTCATGTACTTGCTCCACCACACATACAACAAACAAACTAAAACTTTCATTAGTAATTGCACAGCAGCTGCATTAAACCAGAGGATAGCTTAAAAGCAACCATACTTGAAGATCTTAAATGTCTTTTCCAACCAAAATGATTCTGTGATTCCCTGGAGAAAGCATTTTGAGGCATAAGCCCCACATTTCCAGAAGCCACCTCAGAACTCCACTCCCTAACTATAAAGAATATGCAGATGATAGATATCACTATATTAAAAAACAATTACAGCTATTTATTTATTTCCTGGAAGCCAGAACACAACTGCATTTTTAAATAATAAAATCTTCCATTAAACAAAACATCCACTCAAATTTAACTTCAAATGCAAACACTGCTCTCACACAAGTCTGTAGGGAATTTTGGCACTTGTTTCCTCAACAATAAGATCAGGCTGCCTGCCTGGATCTCCCAAGTCCCAGAAGTCTACATTATGTCATTATTATTATTTGTCAGAAGCCTGAGAAATGTGCTAGGCACCTCCCCACATAGATAAAAGGCCGTAATCTTGAAAAAATATGGAAGGCTTATCCTGTTTTCACACTGCCTGTTGGACAGTTTAGGAATGAAGCAGGTGTCTCATATCAAACTCATACGTGAAGTCAAAATATCAAACCCTATCCTAGTTCTTATATTTATATTTTCTTGCAGACCTTTAGGCAGTTCCATTTCTAAGTATTTTCTCTTGCAGTAGACCAAGCTTTTGTTTATGTATATACACATGCAAATAAAATGTTGAAGGCTGTGATGGGTTATCTCTGTTTTTTAGGGATTTTTCATTAATTGTTTGCCCAGAAGTTATAGGTACAACATGTCATGTGGCACTTACTAATGTACTGTAACTATATTAACACAGTGAATGGCAGGGTAAACAGATACATAAAACATTCATAAATGTTGGTGCATCTGTTAGTACTTCCCTACCACTACAACAAAATTCAATATTTTCTTCAAAAGTTTTCCAACATAATTTTCAGTCTCTGAAATACAATATCTGTATAAACTGTGTACATAAGCAATGTAATACATTACATGTACAGCAGCTAAATAGTCTGTGCAAAGTATTGACACATCCTGAAAAAAAAACACCAAAAAACCCCATACTGGTTTGTATCTGAAAAATACTGAAAGCAAGTTTTAAATACAGAAGTATTTTAAACAAAGACACAATATAAATTACTACACAGGTAGTAACACCATGTATAAAAGTGCTTTTAGCCTGAAAGCTTAACATGTCAGAACATTAAAAATCTCAATATCCACATGAGATAAATATCATCTTCATATCAGAAATGAGTAGAGAAACACTTTGTTCCTCCTGAGGAACCTCTGCAGAACCCTGTGATGAAGTGCTGGCCTCAGCTCTGGAGTGTAAACTATCTCCCACTACTTTTTGGGGCTCTTGGAAAAGCCAGAGAACACTTTCATCAAGGGCCAACCTCACATCAGGTCAACTCAACCTCTTTCAAATGCAAAAAAAAAAAAAAAAAAGGTATATTGAATGACAGACTGTACAACACTGGCTATTTTGGAATGTTATGAAGGTTGACTAATGTTCAAGGTGTTTGCCACAATGATGATTTATTCTACTAATGACTGATCCCTGCTAAAAATGTCCAAAATTTGGGAGATATGAGATATTGGCATTAGGTTTACCTCTTTTATTAGTAGTTGAAGTTCTTCTAAAACCATTTTTACTTTGTTTCTTTCTTTATTTCACTCCATGCTGTGCTGTGCATTGATGGACCTGTAAGCTTAACAAAAAAAATAAAATTCTGATTAGTTCTGCAAAAATATCTAAAGACCAAATACAAAATTTTTCAGAGTGATCATTAAAAATCCTAATTTTTTTCTTATCTTTTAAATGCTGCCAGTCTATCACACGGTCCCTGTCAAGCATTACAACAAAAAGAAAGTTCATCAAATTCATAGTTTTCAATTTTTGAAATTCATTTGCATACAAAGTGTATCTTTAAGGGAAAATAACTTGGCAGTGTCAGTGATAGACACAATAGAAGCTTTATCACACTTTTTTAACACATCTAAAAATGTTGCCAAACACTTTAGAATTTAACAGTAAGAGCTGTTACTGCAAGAACAGTAACTTAACATTTATGAAATAGAGGCAGAAGTTTAAAATGCCTGGAATACCTGGTCCCCTTGTGTTGTGATACTGCACATATTCCCCCCTCATTTAGTGATTTTCTTCTATCTGAGAAAAAAAGAAAAACATATCATTTGAACTCTGACTCCTGCAAGTTACTACTGCCTTACTTCATGTTGCAAGTAATGGAACATAAGATACATATTTCCCAGAAGAAATCAGTATCATTGTTTGTTAACTATCTATTTCTGGAACCACAAACAGTGCTTCAGTTTTCCTTCTCCACTGAAAACAGGGATTTTGTGAGCAGCAAGATTGTATTGAGAACTCCAAAACACTGATAGGCTTTTTTATCTCATAAATGAAAGAAGACCCAACAGCTAAACCTTCCTGTACAAAGAGCAGTTGTCCTCAGGAAGACATAACATCTTTTACAGCTAACAATGATCATATTTATACAATCTCAGTAGATGGTGTAAGATTTATAAAAGCAGATTTTCTCTTCTAAGTTTCAAATAGCATACTTGATTATTAATGCTATAATTCTTCTTATCTAAGATAATGAAAACAGACATATCTTTCTGGTAATATTTCACTCTATGACAAAAAGATCAGAAATCAACATCTTGTACTTCACTTTTGCATTGTGAACACTACTAAGGAATTACTATTTCTTTATTTCTACCTACCATTTTGAACAAAAGGGTTGGAAAACACTATATGCTATGAATTATATTCTTGTGTAATATTGGATATAAAGACTTCTTTTAATTTGCATTTGACCTATCACATCTCTTTAAAGTTATGATACAAAACAATGAATGAGCTAATATTTATGGGTAAATTCAGATTCTGTTAATAGAAAAAAACACCAATGTACAGGCTTATCTAAAAAAAAAAAAAAAAATTAAAATACAGCCATTCTAGGTTTCTCTAAGCAATATATTTTCAAAAACATTCATTCTCTTCTAACTTACACTTGAACTTTATATTTTTTAATCTTGAGAAAAAACAATTTGCCAAATCCTACTTGCTCATAGTGCTTCTCTGATTTTAGGTCAGTATATTTATTGAAGTTCTGTGTACTACAAAGGCAGATCAATAAACTTTATGGGCCAAATTTGGACTAATAAAAACAGGTACAACTCCGCTAAAGTTAAATGAATTGTCCCTGCTTGTATTAATGATAAAATTGGGGTTTTATGTTGTATTAAAAAAAGAGAGTGCAAAAATCCTAACAAAGGTTTAAATAGGCAATGCCTCATACATACTTTATCTTAAAACATCTACTTTTAGTTTTTAATTGTAGTGGTGTTCTGTAAAGAAACACGACCTTACAGGGCATTTTCAGGAACAGAACAGTCTATATATTAAAAGGCAGCAAATGATTCATAACTGCTTAGCGGTCAGTCCTGTGGGGCCATGCTTCCCATGTGAAATTTTTTTCTGCATTGCAAACTCTTACATTAAATTGTGATAAATGAAGAGCGGAGGCTATTCATACAAATCAATGACTTTAGTGTATGTGTCATTAGCCTGAGAGATGCAGGCAGCGGTCACTACTATAAATCATGTGATGATCTGCTGTCTGAGACTCGATGCAAGCAAGCAGATGCATTAGGAAGGTTAAAGAATGAAATTAATCTGTGCATTTCCCTTTCTTTCCTTTCTTTTTTTTTTTTTCCCCTTTAGTCACCTGGTCATACGGAAAGAATTAAAATCACATGATCCAAAGTTAAACTAGCTACAGAACAGTAAATTGGCCAAGTTAGATGTCACCTTTCAACTTAAAGTTAATTAAATATTAATGGGATTAATTTATTCATCACCACATGAAAAGTAAAATATATAGAATAGGTAAAATCCACCAGTGCTCCTCACACAGGAGTTGATATTATTAATTGCTTTTAATGCAGACTGTGGCACGAGACCACGTGCAAGAGATCAAGCACACTGCAAAATGTGCTCTGATACTTTTAAGTGCAGCATATTTCTTTCTTCACATTTTATAAATCCAGTGTTTAGTAACCCATGGCCATGCTCTTCATACCAGTACCTTGGAGTGGGTTATGAATATGAGTCAGGTTGAATGTATTACTGATGATGGAATACATTTCCAGATATCTGTGACTGGGAGTGTTAATGGTGAGAGTGTGCAAAAGGGGTCAGGGACAGTAAAAAGAGATATGGACAATATAATTTTAAAACTGGAATTAATGAATTTGGGAAGGCCATATTTGATATAAATGTTAGGCCAAAGCCTTCAGTCTTTACTCAATACTTATTCAGGCAAAACACCCACTGACTTCAGTGACAGATTTCCTGGGATGAGGACTAAATATGCCCCAGGAGTCAGATTGCCCCTTACTTTTACAGAAGCAGAAATTGGGAGGATCATGCAAGAATCCTAGCCCCTGCTGCATCCGTGTAGATCCTGCAGGAGATTATACAAGTCTCCTTCCCAGGGCTCCAGCACTTCCCCTTTGCACTTTACCGCCACTCAGCAAGGACAAGTCGATGCGTTACAGAGCGGAGGCACAGGAGCCAGAGCCGTGCCCAGGACTATCAACACTCAACGTGCTTCTGTGTAGGGCTCCCAAAGTCAAGCAACACATTGGTAAGGACTCCAGGATTTGGCCTCTTATAACCAGGACAGTCTGTAACAAGGAATCCTGAAAAGTCCTGAAGACTCTGCTTTGAGCAGAGTCTGTTGACTGTGGGCGCAATCAAGTGTGAAAGCAAATTAATGACAGAAGTGGCTGCATTTCAAAGGTGCTTGAAGCAGCCCATGGGCATAAAATAGTGCAGAACACCTTTACTCTTATGAAGGGCACTATAAATCAATAAAGTATAAGTTAGCTTGGACAGTGATCAGATAAGTATTGCATGTGCTTAATTCACTTAGTTATCCTTCCGAAAAAGATAATACACTCAATGTAGACATATTTCAATTGAATTGATAGTAGATCTGGATTGAGCAAGCCTAGAGACTGAATTACTTTTATCCATCCCATCAAGAATAAGGATGAAGTTGCAAGCAAAATCAATGTCAGAAAGGTCTTACTGCCTCTTACAATAGCATACCTACTATCACTTATATTGAAATATTCTAAAATTAATAATAATTACTAAGAATAAGCATCTGTCCTGCTATGGAATAAACTTTTAGCATGTTAAAAACTAGTGATGTTAATTCAGTTTTCTAAATCCTTCAAAGACAGAAGAAAAGCACAAAATCTGTTTCATATAATTGCTCAGAGACCACAAAAATTATTAGCTAAAGTTACCAAATAAAGTGTGAGGGGGAAGAATTGCAGTCCGTAGATTTAAAATTACTGTGAGCTGATTCCCCCAGTAAAGCCAGTAGCCTGTGTATTGTTTCACTGTCACTTAATTACCACATTGACTTTGTATGTATTTATTTATATTTGGTAGCATTAAACTTAGGTCACATATCACACACATATTTTAAGTTCATTTTCCTCACCATCATTTGGTTCTCCAGTTGATCCCATCTAGTCATCAGGACTTTGTTACTTTATGTCTAGAGCAGTGATTAAAGTCTAGTGCAAATTCTGGAATAATTTAAATATTCTAAACTCTGCATTGTTGCAGCTCAGCTTCTTCCAGCTACCTAAGCTGGGGCTGATCATACTTTCTTTGGAGAGGTTTGCCTACCTCATAGACTGCAGAACTTCATTAGAAACACTTATTTCTTTCCCAGTGTAAATTCAGTGATTTTAGGAATTCACACAATATTTGCTGTTTAATTTCCTGTAAAGTTCTGTTTCTGCCCATCCCTGAAGCAAGGAAGAGCTGTATTTTAAAAGTAAATGAAAGTAGGAGATGGAAAAGTAAGAGGTGGTTGCCCATTTTAAAACGCAAGTGAATTGACTTTTAGGAAGCAGAAGAGAGCCCTGAAAAACTTTGGTAGCAACCTGTAAAAGTCCCTCTCCATGACCATCTGAATACAAAATAAAAAAATGAAAAATACTGTGTGGATGAAATTGCTCCTTCCTTTTGGAGCAAATCCATGCTTCCTTTTTGGTGACTAATTCCTGATTTTTATATCACACGTCACTTTTGAGTAAATGCCAAAAAAAGAGGCAAAAGCTCTTTACAGTCAGTTGATAGTTTTATACTGTAGGTTTAAATTGTGGGTCGACAGGAAACCTGGTTTTAATTTTTAAGTGTTACATTAGGAATATAAAATATTTCTTACAAAATCAGCTACTTTACTGAACTGCTTGATGCCATACCCAGTTTATTTGCCTGTTTTAGGGACAGCTGGGGGATGTACATCATATTATATGACTGAATCAGGCTCCTTTCAAACCCATAGTATGAATCACCTGCTACCTCAGTATTTCCTCAACACAGCTCTTTCTTTCCAGGTCCTGCCTCACACTGGACTCCATCATGCTGGATACTGATTGCTCTCCTTTCCAATTAGCTTCAAAGTGAAGGCACTCAGGACCTTGCAGAATTAGCTCAGCTCCCTACACGTGTGGCCAAGAGGTTCTTACTCCCTTGGTCCTCCCATGAGCACAAGGATTGCTTTCCCAAGGGCAGGAGCCAGAGCCAAGCCCTTAAACAGCAATTATGGCTCCTTTAAGCTACAAAGACCCTTCTTAGGGACACAACAGGGCCAGAACTTGCTGATGTCCCTTTATACTGGTTGCTTCTAAAGCTGATGACCAGGTGTTGGGATTGCCAACCAGAGGTGTGACTGGCAGGTCACATCCAGGATCCTGGGGGGCTGCAGGAGGAGGCCAACACGGACCCCCGGGCTTGCTGTACCTCCCAATTACCACACAAAAAACTAAAACACAGGGTCATGGATAAAAGCGAATAAATGTTTCTAAATTCTTATCTTAAACACACTTAAGCTTGAAGCTATTTAATTGAGGATTTAAAAGCATGTATGCTTTATGAAGCTGTGGCTACCTGCTTCATTCTCTTGCTCTTATTTTTGCTTTTATCCTTTTAGTCTTGAAGAAGCCTAATTAGAAGCTTGAACAGGGCTCTCTCTCCCTGCCCTTAAATCAGTAATTGGCTTCAGTGCAGAGACTGTCAGGAAATTAACACATCACAACATGACAGCTGTT